CACACACACACACACACACACACGCACACACTCCTTATTGATTCTGTTTCTCTGTAGAACCCTGACTAATATACCTGGTCCCCACATGTGGGCCTTACTTGTAGCTTCATTCACATAAACAAACTGTTGAAATGTAATACTGACTAAATATGTTTAATATTTAAAAATTATTAATGTATAATTGTGATAATGGTATTCTTGGATTTGCTTCCAAATAATAAGTGGCTAAAATTAGCCAGGCATGGTGGCGGGTACCTATACTCCCAGCTACTTGGGAGGTTGAGGCAGGAGGATCATTTGAGTTCAGGAGTTCAAGGCTGCAGTGAGCTATGAGCACCCTACTCCACTCCAGTCTTGGCACCACAGTGAGACCCTGTCTCAAAACTAATAATAATTATAATAAGTGAAGGTGGGCGCCCCCTCTCCCAAGACTGGTCATTAGTTGATTATTGTTGAGGGCTAGTGATTAGTATGTGGAGGTTCATTAGATTATTCTGTCTATTTGGATATGTTTGCTATTTTCTGTAATAAAATGTTCTTGAAAGTGCTTTCTGTAGTAACACATTCACCTGGTTCAAAAATAAAAATGATACAAAAAGGTACACATTGACAGATGTTACTCCCATCTCTGTGTCTCTCTCCTTTGCCATGGTGACCAACGGTCCTGATTTGCCAGGGATACAGGACTTTTAGTGTTAAAACTGGGACAACAGTCAGGTGTGGTGCCTATAGTCCCAACTACTTGGGAGGCTGAGGTAGGAGGATTGTTTGAGCCTAGGAGTTCAAGGCTGCAATGAGCTATAATTGCTTCACTGCGCTCCAGCCTGGAAAATATAGTGAGACCCTGTTTCAAAGGAAAACAAAACAAAACAAAACAAAACAACCAACCAACCAAAAAACTGGGACGGTCCAAGCCAAAACAGAATGGTTGGTCACCCTACACTTACCTCTTTAAGGAACCATTATTGTTAGATTTTTATTTATTTATCTATTTATTCATTTTTGCTATACTTCCAGGATTTCTTTACAAAAATAAAACAATTATATCTTTATAAAATAAATATTTAATATTATCTTTATAAAAATGAAACAAATACTGTTTTTCACATTTTCTCATAAAAAGGTCATGTTATATACATTGTTCTATACCTTATTTTTTTTTCCCTTAACAGTATACCCAAAAGATTTTCCCACATCAACACATAGAGAACTTCTTCCTACTTTTTTTTTTTTTTTTTTTTT